TATTTATGTTAATGAGTATAGTTGACCTGTAATTTTCTCTATTTGCTTCCTCATTTATTTTTTATAACAAGATTACACTAGCTTCACAAAATGAGCCAAGAAACATTCTCTGTATTCTTTGAGATAGTTTGCAATACTCTGGGGAGTATTTGTTCCCTGATTCTTTTGAAAACTCACCCTACAGCCACCTGGCATCTCCTACCAACTGGCTGACACTGTCTTTATAACTTTTTTTGCATATATGTGTGAGGTTGAGTGTGGGGGGAGGGTTATACATGTACATATGTGAGTATGTATGTGGAGGTCAAAGGTTGATGAGGAGGCCAAAGGTTGATGTGGAGTCCAAAGGTTGACACCAGGAGTCTTCCCTAATCTGTTTCCACTTTATATTTGGGGGAAGGATTTCTCACTAGAACCCAGAACTCACTGACTTGACTAGTCTATCTAGGCAATACCCTTCAGGGACCCCCTGTCTCCGCCTCCTTTGTGCCGAAATTATGGATGGGCCACCATTCCCGCTAAGTGGGAACTGAGGCTCTAAAGTCCAGTATTTGTGCTCTCACTACACACGGGGCCATCTCTCCACCCTCTGCACATGTAAACACAATTTCATCCTCCTGATGACTACGTGTCTCTTCAACTTTTCTGTCTCATCATAAGCCAGTTTGGGTAAGTAGTATTTATCAAGAAGTTACCTAAATTGGCTGTTTGCACAAAGTTGTTTTTTTTTTTTTTTTTACATTTTTTGATTGATTAAAATTGCAGCCCCACTTTTCATTTCCTCTTTCATTGATTTCTGTTCTTTGTATTTTCTTCTTTCTACTTCCTTGGCTGACATCCTATTTTTCTCATCGTTGAGTTCAAGTCTTACTCATTAATACACGCAAAACTGTCAGTTTCTATTTAAATACAACCACATGTTATATCCAGCACTTTTATCATAGCTCAAATTTAACAAACTATAGAAATGATCCCTGAAAGTAAGTATAGTCTTTCATAGTTCAAATTTAAATGTCCTATTAACATTTTCTATTTCCTTTTAACCCATAAAATATCTCTATTTTTTTTTTCTATATCCTCAAATACATGTCTTTTGTTCATCTGTTACCTGTTGGGTTTTTTTTCTTTTTCCTTTTCTGTTCCTGTTTCTGTTTCGTGTATGTTTGTGTGCTGTGTGGTGTGTGTGTGTGTGTGTGTGTGTGTGTGTGTGTGTGTGTGTGTGTGTGTGTGATGTGAACATGTATAGAAGCCAAAAGAGGCTGTCACGTGTCCTGTTGTGTCACTCTCCACCTTGTCTTGAGACAGGGAACATCATTGAACCTGGAACATCAGCAGCCACCAAGCCCCATCAACCCTCCCATATCCTCCCTTCTCAGAACTGGGTCACAGACACAGGTAACCATCGCTGGCTTTTTCTGTATAGGTTTTGGGGATTCACACTCAGATCCTCAAGCTTGTTGAGCAAGCACTCTTATCTATTGGGCCATCTTTCCAACCCCTTAAGTTATTTATTATTGATTTCTGGTTTGTTTGCATGCTATAACATCTTCAAAAGTCATTGAGATTGGCATTTGGTCTAGCAGATGATCAATTTAGTGCTAAAATTCCACATGTTACTGAGATCTGTGTATTTTCTTTGATTGCTATGCTACATAATTCTCCAATAAATTTAGCTTGTTCATTGTGAAGTTCAAATTGTCCGTGTGTCCTTCCAGTATTTTGATAGGGTGTCACCTGAGAGACAACAGACTCTCTTACGAATTTCTTTGCTTATAACTATGTCACCTTTTGCTTTGTAAATATGAAGCTGTGTTTTTAGTTGCATATAATTTAGGATATTCTAGTGAGGTCATTTTGCCTTTTTTTCAATTATAAATTTTTTTCTTCATAATGCTTTTTTTTTTTTTGGCTAATGTTTTCCTAGGGGGTGTTTTCACGTTAATTTCCAGGGGTTGGTTTGTTTGTTTGGTCATGTTTTGGGTGTGATTCTATAAACAATCTAAATCTGAATTGTCCTTCTAATCCCACTATTGGTTGCTGTTTCCTGTTTTGTGCATGAAAGCTTGGTCACTGTGGTTCTTGTGCTTGCCCATCCATTCAGGTTTCTTCTCAAACCCTTATTGTGTAGTATTTCGTGCTTTCTGTGTGCTTTGCTTTTCTGATTAATTCTGCTTTCTCTTGTAATGTACTGCCATGGTTGACTTTGCTTGTTCCTGCTTTTTCATTTGAAATCACACTTTTCATGTCGTTTACAGCTACACAGAAAGCTGCCTACATGGTTGTGCATGTGCATGTGAGTGCATGCATGTGTGCGGGGGTGTGGTGTGTGTGTGTGTGTGTGTGTGTGTATGTGTGTGTGTGTTAGTGTGGGTTTGTGCATACTCGCATATGTGTGCATACAGAAGAAGCCAGAGGTCAACCTTGAGTGACCTTCTTCAGATTCCACCATTTTTAAAACAAGTTCTCACTGGCCTGGGATTTGCCAAGTAGGCTAGGCTGGGCAACCAGTAGACCCCCAGGTATCATCTACCTGTCTCCAACTCTGCAGCACTGGGATAACCAAACACCTCTGGGTTTTGTCACATGGGGTCTAGGGCATGAATTCAGGTCCTCAGGCCTGCAAGACAAGCGTTTTGCTGAGTGAGCTATCTCCGGTCCCCACATAAAGCTTATAAAGCCGTTTTAACACATACATTTTTAACACTTGAACTTAACAGACTTTAAATGTCACCAGCCACGCTCTAGTTCCTGGACTCTGTGGACTCCAAGAGTGGTTTCTGTTTGTCACCTCTTTCTGCTTATATCTCTGGCTTACTGCTTCTTATCTGGCTTAGTCCTGTTGATTTTCTGCTTTTGGTAAGTATTTGCCTTGGAAAAATAAGGACACAGATTTAAGCCCCTGAGCTTAGGTTATAATGATAATAGTATGAATAATAATAATAATAATAATAATAATAATAATAATAATAATGATAAATGCTAGGTGTGGTGGCACACAGTAGTTGTAAGGTAGTTGGGGAGGTAGAGACAGGCGGATCCCTGTGCCTCATTGGCAAACTAATCTCGTCTTCACAGTGAGTTCAGACCCATGAGAGACCCTCTCTCAAGAAAGCCAGATGGACCTGAGGCTGACTTCCGCCCTCCCCCCCCCACACACACACACTTTCAAAATTATAAGCTGAAATGAGTCTTTCCTCTTCATCAGCTAATTATCGCAGGTGTTTGCTACAGTAATAAAAAGCTGGCTCCCACAGGCTTCGCCCCTCATTACTGCCTGCACTTTGACAGTCCCCATCAGAAACAGTGTCAATTAGGCCCATGGGCAGGCCATTAGTGCTCCGGGGCACTGGAGGCTAGGGAAGGGAAGCATCCCAGGACTGCTTGGCTTCTAATGGACCAGAAGGCAGTCTATGGCCTCCAGGGACTCTGCTTCGGGCCATTTGCAGAGGACGCGATTAGAGATTCTTGGGAGAACGCCTATTGCGTTCCTCCTTGAAGTCAGGGATGATTATACACACTCCTTCAAATCTCACACTTTCATTCTGTGGACAAGCACTCAGCTCGGTGCTTGTCCCAAACACTATAATCTAGCAGAACAGGCGTCTGCCCCTGATAAGACCTTGTCGGACTGTCCAGTGTGGAATGGAATTTTCCCAAGTCCTCAGTTTACAGTTACTTTCTCGCTAATGAGAAACGGCATCCTTCTTACACATACAGGCACCCTCTTCTATGAAGCACCTACCTGTGTGTGCTCCCCAATTCTCTCTAGTATTCCTTTCTCATTTTCCTGAAACATTGGGATTTGTAGCTCTTCGCTGAAGGCCTCATCGGCTGCCTGGCTTTTCTACCGGTTTCTGTGTGGCCGTGCAGTTAGCTTGCTCCTAGAATCCACTTCCAGTTAGGCTGTGGACGGCCACACCCCCTTCCTCTGGCTGGAGGAACCACACAGGTCCCTGTGTGAACAGCGCAGGGCTCTGGGGTTCCAGACAGCCCCCTCAACCTGTTGGACTTCCTTAGCTGTTCCAGCTGCAGGAGGAGGTTAAGAAAGGCTTTCTATGGTTGGGTCTGGGGGACCTTTCCTTTAGATTCCCAGGGGAGCTACAGATACCCAGCCACCTGTTTCTGTGTGCGAGCCCAAGCTCCTGTGATTTAGCACAGAACGTTTCAATGTGCATTTTCAAATTTTTCAGGTAAACATTTCTAAAAGTTAATGGAATGTTTTAAAAAATGTTCTCAAAGGGGTCTGGGCAGATGGCTCAGTGGGTAAAGTACTTGCTGTGCAAGGCTGAGGAAATGGATCTGGGTTCAGATCCCCAGCACCATTTAGAAACCCTGTAGCACAATGATGGACTCCTGTAATCTGCCTACATACAGAGGAGACAACATAGCCCCTTGGACTTGCTGGCTAGCTAGTCTAACCAAATCACCAGCTCCAGGCTGAATAAGATACTGTGTCTCAATAAGGTGGAGAATAAGGAGGAAGACGTCCAGTGCCAACCTCTGGCCTCCACATATACACGTGCATATGTATGTGAGCCCCCATACACACATACAATATATGTACATGCACACACATACACACACAATATTCTCAAATTATGAGTGTTTGAAGTTTAAAGCATCCGATAACTATACAAGTTGGACAAACAGCTATGTCCTTGATCTACCCCATAGCATGTGACTTCCCAGAGGAAACCGTTCGTTTGAAGTTCTATTTATCAGTTTAAGGAACTGCGTTCAGGGTTAACTCTGTTTTTCTGGGTGTAATCCTCATGCCTACACTGGAAGGAGGGTTTTTCTCTCTTCTCCAGGCTTCTACTCCCCAGCAGTCAGCAGGACCACACACAAGTTACATAATTCCCAACTCTCATTGTCAACAGCACAGTTACATCCTAATTCTGGAGGGACTGAGAATGCCAAAGTTCCCACACTCCTGGGAAAAGCCCTATTGTGTTGTAGCCATGGTAACACAGCAGCAGAACCAGCGCTAACCCCTTTCAATGGCCCCAGGGAAGATGTTTTGCAGCCAACCAATCAGCATCGGCACTGTGTGAAATTCAGCCAATCGGAAAGCAGACTCCCTCTGTCCCCAGCCTCAGTGGTTGGCGGATCAGCGCTCCTGCTGCTTGGCGCCCCCCTGGAGACAGCCTGAACCACAGAGTCCTGCTTGCTTGAGTGAGCATGGAATCCAGTTTTGCTTTTGATTTCAGAATTGAGAGAAGGTCTCGTTGTCCTTGATGAAGTCATCATTCAATGTATACATTCAATGTATACATTGTGACTATGTTAATTAAGACTTTCAGTCCCAAGCCTTTCGTACACAACTTTTCAATTTTCCCTGTAGTTAATGTTTGCTTAGTGGTTTTCCTCTGTTTCTTTTTCTTTTCCTGGCGTCTTTTGTTGTTCGTTTTAACCAAGCTGCCTAATGATTCTACATTACATCTGTTTCTTTCTGTATAAACGGAGGATATGGCCACTCCAAGGCATGATAAGCGGAAGATTTTTTATTGTAGTTACGAGAAAGAGTGCAGCCAGAGGCATCTGGAAGAATCCAGAGCAAGGAGAGAAAGTAGTAGACTGAACATGGTCAGCAGTCTGGACTGGGCCCTGAGAGGAGAGAGGGAGGAAGCAAAGAGAGGAAGACAGAAAGAGGACCAAGTGAGGAAGACAGAAGAAGGAGTATGGCGGGAAACAGCGGGGTTACGTGGAAAGATGAGAAGCTGGGGCCATGAGCTGGAGTTCAGGATAAGGGGCGGGGTGAGAGGAGCCGGGATGCCAGCATGGACTCTGAAATGTATAACAGGCCTGAGGGATCCTGGAGGCCAGCATGTGCTTTGGTACGCTAACAGTCATCACAGACAGCCATTTGTCCTTTCTGCTAGTGATAAGGGAACTGGCCCTTCAGTAGTTCCCGAGGAATGCTTGCTTTTGTCTAGCCACCAGAATTTGGGGAAGTGTAAGTTTCCTTTGGATCTGACAATTTTTGTCTGTACTTGTCCCAAAATTATCCTCAAACTCCTCGAACCCCTCCCCTGTGGATGTAAAATTTATTTCACTTTATTCCACCACAACAGCTTAATCCATTAATTTCATTTTCTGCAAAATCTCCCTGGATGCCCCTGACCCCTCCGTCTGCTCAGCCTGGGAGAGGTTCCCCCTCACTTCTCTTCTGGGGAGCCTCCTTAGCTCTCCATCTCCTTGTCCCCCTGTTTCCCCACAGCCTGAGCAGTGACATTTTGGAGAAATGTGCACATCTGGAAATGTCTTACATTCCCACTGATGATTATTAACTGATGTTACAGACTCAGTTGTGTCTACAGCACATTCCTGTGTTGACGTCCTAACTCCACCATCTCAGATTCTGACTGTATTTGGAGACACGGCCTTCGAAGAAGTAATGAAGGTAAGATGAAGCTGTTAGTGGAGCTTTAATCCAGCTGGGCACACAAGAAGACTTGAATTTGGATCCCCAGCACCCATCTAAAAGCCATCTGTAGCCATGCATGCCTGTGACACCAGCATTCTAGGTGAGGGGTGGGGAAAAAACAGGAAGATTTCCAGGGCTTGCTGGTCAACCAGCCTAGCCAACAATAATGATGATGGTAATAGCAACAACAACAACAATAATAATAATAGTGAATGGTGAATGCCAGGCTGGATGAAAAACTTTGTCTCAAAGGGAATAAGGCAGAGAGCAATAAAGGAAGATATCCAATGTACTCCTCTGACATGCATACGGGCACACATATGCACACATGTGTGTGTGCATGCATATACAACACATGAATACAACACACAAAAAGATAAGTTAAACGGAAGAAACTAGGAGACAGATAATGCAAAGTGACCTTGTAAATAATGAGGGTGTCGGAGTGACCATCTCTGAGGAAGGAGAAAGGCCCAGGAAGAAATCAAGAAATCAGCCTCAGACGTACATCATCACCCACAGATGTGAGAAAGTGGCCGGGCGTTGGTGCTTCTGGGTCTGTGGCTCGGGCAGCGGAGCGAATCCATAGAACTAGTGCAGTGTGGCCCAAATCAACACGATTTTCCTTCAGAATGTTGAAGACATTGCTGCTTCCTTTCAGCCTTCCGAATTACAAGAATCTTCTACCATGCGATTCTTGGGCCTTTGCGTCTGACCCCAGCCACTTTATCTGAATGTCCCTCAGAGAATGGTGGCACTTCTGCTTGCCCTAATGCTTTGAAATTTGAACTGCAATCAATCACAACAACCTCCATCCTGAGTGCTTTCACATTAAACCCCAACCCCCTCCCCCAGCATACTCCAGACTCCGGGAAGCCAAGGTGCTGGGAAACTGAGGCAGGCTTTGGAGAAAGAACTAAAGAGGCCGTTTTTGCTAAGTATGTCTGGCACAGGCTGGTGCTGGTAGGTGCCTTCCATCCTCCCTGGCATCTGATGGGCCATGTTGGTCCTGCCAATCTGTGATCACCCAGCACCTGACGCGTACTCCTGAGCCCAATTCTGCAGCCAGGGCTGGAGTAGCATCGAGCTGTCATGTCCTGCACCTGATAGCTTATGGGTAGGAACTCAGAAGCAAACCCCCAGGCTTGGTGAGGCAGAAGCTATTGCCCCTTAAAGAGACTCCTAATATCCCTTCAAGTCGGTTTTTGGTTTCAGAGAAGTCATTCCACAGAAAACTCCAGGGGGCATTTAAAGGAACCCAAATCATAGAATCATTCTTCCGCATGAACTGAAGTAAACGTGTTCATTGTAATGCTAAATTCTCTTGTCCACGGTCTGTGAACATGTAGTGTGGAAGAGCATAATCATCAACAGAGCATGCTAAGGAAGATGCCTGCCTCTACTGTGGGATGGCATCTGTACAATACGAATGTGCATGAGGTTCCCCAGAAAAATCATCTCATGTCCATGTTTGGTGATACCTTGCCTTCAAATTATCCCCATGCTGTCCTCACAATGGAAGACCTCTCCTTCTACCATCATCTGCCCAGACTGCTTATGGCTTTATGGGCACCAAGAGTCAAGCCATCATGTTGGGAGAGGCATCTTCTGTGGGCCCACATTGTCCTAGGTCACTCTGGATGTAATGAATGGCTCACTATGCCCATGATCCTAACCAGTTATAGTGGTTGATATTAATGGTCAACCTAACACATAGGAGGCAGAGCTCTAGGTAGACCTGTGAGGGATGATCTAGATTAATGTTAGGCTCTGAGAATGTCTCTGAGGGGTGTCTTGATTATGTGAATTGATGTGGGGAAACTCGTCTTAATTATAGGTGGCACCATTCCCTAGGCAGGGGATCTGGAACCATATGAGTGGAAATACTGATCTGAGCAGTAGTATGCATTATTCATTGCTCTCTGCTCTTGACTGTAGATATAATGTAACCAGTTCTCTCAAGTTTCCAACACCGTGACTTCCTAGCCATAATATTATAACTTGGAAGTGTAAGATAAATAAAACTGTCCAAATAAATCGCTTTTGTCAGAGTATTTTAACACAGCAATGGGTAAAGAAACTAAGATAGCATTCAGCCCTACAGCCTTCTGGGAAGATGGTAAGGTTTCAAATTATTGAGGTTAGAATAAGGGTCAGGTTGAGTTGTGTGTGTGTGTGTGTGTGTGTGTGTGTGTGTGTGTGTGTGTGTGTGTTAAAGTTAGCTAATCCCCTCTGTCCCTCTGTTCCATTTTCTGCTGAACTAAATTGGGCAGTAATTGCTTAATTTGATCTTTTAAATTTTTAACAAGAACAGTTATCAAATGTTTGCTGTTGTAATCAGTAAGGATGTCTTCAAAACCTAAAAGCAATCACAATGCCTTGACACCACACTGCTCTGGGCAGAGAAGCAGGCTATCCTCTCTCTCCACTCCCTCTTCCTCCCTCCCTCTCTTCCCCTCCCTCCCCCTCCCCCTTCTCCCTGTCCATCTCCCCCCTCTCTCTGTTCACATGGAAGGGTGTGTTTGTGTGGATATGTACACCTGTGTCTTCATGTATGAAACGGACATGTGTAGTGTGAATTTGGAGGCCAAAGGTCAACGTTGAGAGTCTTTCCTCGGGTGTTGTCTTAGTTGGGGTTTCTGTTACTGTGAAGAGACGCCATGACCCCGGCAACTCTTACAAAGAAAACATTTAATTGAGGTGGCTCACTCACAGTTTCAGAGGTTCAGTCCATTATCATCAGGATGGGGAGCATGGCAGTGTGCAAGCAGATGTGGTGCTGGACCCGAGAGTCCTACATCTTGACTCAGAGGCAACAGGAAGTCAACTGACTGTCACACTGAGGGAAGCTTGAGAAAAAGACCTCAAAGCCCACCCCCACAGTGACACACTTGCTCCAATAAGGCCACATCTCCTAATAGTGCCACTCCCTTTGGGGGCCATTTTGTTTCAGGTGACCATAGACGCCCACCCTGTTTTTTGATGTTTATGGCTAGGGGTGCCAAATAGTCATTGTCGCTAATTAGGCTTTGATCTTGTGCCCATACACCACCAGTCCAGCTTCCCATAGACCAAAGCAATAGTCAGCTCCAGTGTCAATAAGGGTTTTGTATACTGGGGGGGGGGTGTCAATGACTCGTGAGATCAACATAAAGCCTCCAGTCATCAGGAGTCCTCCCTAACTGAGGACCTTGGCTTCACCCCTAGAGTATATATACCCAGCCATGGAGAGAACCCCATGCTGGGGCCCAACATACTTGTTTGCATTTAGAGAGATCGCCACATCAAAACACGCTAGCAATGCACCCAGCCTTGGCGTGTTGGGAAGAGGGTGTTCAGAATTTCTGCCCCTTGAGGCCTACTGTTTCCAGCACAGGGCAGCCTCCGCTTCTCAAGGGCACTTCCTCCAAGAGAAACTGTTTCCTTTGGTGAGGCTGGCATGGCTTTTTTTTTTTACCATCAGACTATCAGTATGAAGTACAAGTAGGTGGTTTATTTACCCATAGTCTCTGGCCATTTGCCAGCATTGGCCCATACCAGACATACTCTGGCTATCAGCCAGCTCATTAGCAACTGTTCTCCCCAGTTTTGTGGCCTTGGGACCTGTAGGCACTTCCTTAAAGAGGGATGGGTGGTGATAGAGGTCAATTTCTCCATCTGTTCTGCAGTTAATGAGACATTCTCCCCCCTTATCCCAGAGGTTCAGCAGGCAGGCAGGGACCAGCTCCCCAGGGCTCCGTCTGCATTCTGTTCCGTTTGATAAAAGAGACTGAATACTCTAAATCACATACTGAGGTTTCCGCTTGGCTCCCAACTCGTACCTTGGCTTCTCACTGCAAAGTGTCTTCGAGGCCAGCTTTCAGCACAGTCGAAACATTCTTGGCCTCCATCTGCTCCATGCCCAGCGATTCGGGGCTCCAGTCCACCTCCTCAGGATCCTGCTGACTCTGCCAGATGTGAGGTCCAGGTTACAATGCAGGAGGAAAAGGCAGAGTGTAGGCCAAGAGATTGAAGAGATGGTAAGGAAGTACAAGCAAATGAATATGTTTCGCTCACTCTGAGCAAAGGCCACCAGGCAGGCAGACGTCATCAGGCACCCGGGCACACACCAGCACATTCACGCCACACACAGGCAGGCACAGGCACACACACAGGGAGGTCAGCACACAGGGAGGTCAGCACCCAGGGCCAGAGACAGACACACACACACAGGCAGTCTGGCAAAGGTGAAAGTGAAAACCGAGGCCTTTGGCTCCAAAGGCCATGTTTATACAAAACTCATACACAAGTGACATCGACTAGTTAGAATTGTTGATACTTTATAGAACTCTTTCCTTTCAGGTTCCCCCAGACATCTGGTAACAACTATTTTGTTCTGACTCATAGCCCCCTGCATGTCCAGTGTTAGACATCTTGGAGCATTCTGGTTATCCGTAAACTGGCCCGTATTGCCCTCTGTTCCCAGTGTAGGATCTCTCACTGCCGTATAACTCACTGAGCGGAGTAGCTCATGGGCCAGTGAGCACCAGGGGTCTGTCTGTCTCTGTGTCCCTGCACTAGGGTTCCAAGTGTGCACCACTATGCCCAGTTTTTAGAGTTTTGTTTTGTCTCATTTTGTTTTTTGTTTTTTTAATGAGTGCTGGGAATCAAAACTCAGTACTTCACCAATTAATCTATCTCCCCACCTCCATCTCTGTTTTGCCTGTTACTTGTGGTGAAAAGCTCTAATATATAAGATAGATGATAGATGGACAGACAGACAGATAGATAGATAATTAGATAGATAGATAGATAGATAGATAGATAGATAGATAGATAGATAGAGCTCTGATAAGATATATAGAGTCTCATTTTTCCATTCTAGGTGTTGAACCCAGAGCCTTGAACAGAATAGGAAAGTCACTGTTACTGATTTACACTCCCAGCCCTTGTTTGTTTGTTTGTTTGTTCATTTTGAGACAGGCAGATCTCCAATAGAGTAGCCTAGGCTGGCTAGAACTTGCTATCCTTCTGTCTCAATATCTTGAGTCAGAACTCAAGATATTACACAAGTGTGCCAACATGTCTAGATACACTGATGTATTTTCCATGTTACTTTCACATTGTGTGTGTGTGTGTGTGTGTGTGTGTGTGTG